GCTGTTATGGTCAGAATGTCTGTCCACCTCCCCTCCAAATTCGTGTGTGATGGTGTTAGAAGGTGGGGCCTTTGAGAGGGAATTAGGTCATGAGGGTGGAGCCCTACGAATGGGATTAGGGCCCTCACAAAGGAGGCCCCAGGGAGCTCCCTCACCCCTGCCTCCACGTGAGGACAAAGGAGGTAGATGGTCATCTTGAGAACCAGGGACAGAGCTCCCTCGCCGGACCCTGAGTCTCCCAGCACTTTGATCTTAAATTCCAGCCTGCACAACCGTGAGAAATACATTTGTTCGAACCTTTCAGCCCACTGTGTTTTACTACAACGGCTGGAACAGACTAAGACACCAGTCATTGGGTTTAGAGCTCCCCCTAAACCCTGGATGTCTCATTCCAAGGTCCATCTTCACCTCTGCATGGCCCCCTTTTCCCCCAAGAAGTACCAGGGGTTAGGAATTGGACGTAGCTCCTGGGGTGCCACCGTTCAGCCACCACCCTTGGTCCACACCTTTGACCTGCAACACCATGGTGTTGGCCGCCTCACCTTTCAGGCAGTTGCCAAGGCTCTTCAGAGGGAGGTGGTCTGCCCACGCCCCTTACCCACGCCGGTCACGCTGAGGAGGGGCTGCATGCCGTCTCCAGAATGCACGTGTAGGAGGTCTAGGCTGGGCAGGGCCCCATAAGGCGTATCCCGTCCCAGGGCAGTGTGGGTGTCAGTTCTACTCCTGGGTGACAGGGTGGCATTGGTCAGCAGGCTCCTGGGACACGTGCCACCATCTTCCCATGCCTCACTGCAGAGATCCAGACATGACGTCCGCCCCGCGGTTCCCGGAACGCGTGGCGTGCGCCCGTCTGCAGTGCTGTCATCTCCTCCGGTCCTTCCCGCTCACTCCTCACTGCGGGTCTCTGGGTTTAGGGTGAGGAGTCACCGATGCCGCCTGATCCAGTAGGGCCTTGATAGATATGTCCACTTGGCAGGTGAGTCCCAAGGAGACACCTGCAAGAACGCACGTCCGCCATCAGTCTTTCCTGCATGTTCCCCTTTCTGATCTGCTCCAGGGACAGCCTCCATGTTCTTTGTCACCAAGTGTAGGTCTCCAGGGGGAAGTCAGACGGGATCCGTCTTCCATAGGGTCACTGATTCCCCACATCTCTCATCTCTCCCTGTGGATTAATCCTCTGAGTGCTGATTCTTTATAGCAACAGCTGTCTGTCTGCCCTTCCCTTAAACCGAATTAAGCACACCAGGGCCTACGAGCTGTTGGCTGGGTTTCACTTATATACTTAATTAACCAGCTTCTCCGCAGGACAGAACTGCGTTCACATCTTTAGTCTTTTACTTCTCAGAGCGAATAAGGAACAGTTGTGCATTATGCAAAGGATACAGAAGTTTTTGAAGGACTCAGGCAGTCCTGTGCCAGGAGATTCGAATGACCCATCGCTGACTGTGACCTGGAGTCCGATGTGATGGGGGTGCCCGTGGCAAACACCTGCCCGTTACCTTCCTCTGTGTGCTTGACGTGCGGGGCCCTGCCCCGCCGCCAGCAGCGTTCATCGTGGCCGTGTGACAGGTGACAGAATGGAGGTCCAGGAGGGGACATCATTGCCGTGGGCTATGGCCAGGTCCCTCTCTTGAGTTTCATGTTTGTTTCGGTGCAGACATTTTAGAGAAGCTGAGTATGTTTTGTCTGATTTAAAAAACAGTCACTCCAAAACATTTTTGATTCATTCCACCATGGATAACAATGTCGAGTACGCACACCAGTATAGTCTTGCTGGTATGTGTGTGTCTGTGTATAGCACTGCTCTGTTAACATTAGGCACGTTACAAAGTATCCACAGAACTAGAAATGTTAGGATTAATGAAATAAAACCATATATAAAATTTTTTTAATGAATAGCACCAAAGAACTTTTCCTGCACAATTTTCTTTTTCCAGTATGTTTTAGAGAAAACGTGTATTTAAATATGCTATATTATTTTTTGAATGTGTTGGTTTGCTATTGTGTGGTAACAGAAATCTGAATATTCTGTTTTAAATTCAGGTCAGCTTGTCACTCAGCTCTAATCTCTGTATCCTGACCGAGGTGGTGATTGGATTTATATTTGTTACAATCATTCTTTCATCCCACTTACCAGATCAGTAAAAGTTTTTACTGAAATTTAGCTAATAAATAATACATATTTCTCCATGATATTCGTCAGTGGTTGTTGCAAACGAAATGAATGGTGTGGCTTTTTTTTTTTTTTTTTTTTAGTATTTTTAAAATAGAAGATTCAAACCCCATAGAAAGTCTTCACGTGGAAGACTTTCCCACTGGTTGGAACTCGCTCTCAGTGTGAAGCTAAGTGTGTGTGTTCATGAGACGCAAGCATCTGTAGTTCTGTTGTATGACCTGTGTCTGGTCTCACAAAATGAGTTGGGAAGTGAGCGTTCCCTTTGGTTTTCTGAGGCTTCTTTAGTGTCGGCGTGCTTTCTTTCTGAGACGCTTGGTAAACCCACCAAAGAGGCCACCCAACCCTCGGCTGGGGACATGTTTTAACTGCAGATTCAGTTCCTTTAGTGGATATAGGGCTAGTTAGGTCATTAGTGTCTTCTTGAGGGAGCTTTGTATCCTTCAGAGAACTTGTCCATTTTATCTACATTGTCACGTTTATTGGCATGAACTGTCATAATATTTTTCTGTATCCTTTTAATCATGTTAAGGGCCTTTAGTGCTGTCCCTCTTTCATTATGGTAATCTTGGATTTTTTCTTTTTTAATCTTGATCTGTCTAGCTAACAGTCTCCCAATTAAATTGATCTTAAAGAACTAGGTTTTGGTTTAATTGGTTTCCTGTGTTCTTTTTTCTGTTTTCTACTTCATTGATTTCCTCTCTTATTTTAATTCTTCCATTCTTTTTTTTTTGAGTTTAATTTTCTCTTTTTCCTTCATCTTCTTAAGATAAAACCTTAGATTTTAGATCTTCTTTCTCACAGTTGTTTTTTAATGTGATGACTTATATCACTGATCTGAGACCCTCTTCTCTAATACAAGAATTTAATGCTATAAATTTTCCTCTAAAAATGTTTTAGCTATGTCCCACAAATCTGGTATGTTATATTTTCATTCTCTACAAAATGTCATCTAATTTCCCTTTGTGATTTCATATTTGACCAACATCTTACATTGAAGTGTGTTGTTTAATGTCCAAATATTTTTTATTTTTCAAGTACTATTCAATCGTCCATGCCTATTTTAATTCTGCTGTGGTCAGGGAACTTACTTTTTATGATTTCAGTTCTTTAAAATGTTTTGAGAATTGTTGTCTGACCAATATAGTATGTTCCTTCTTGTTGACTGTTTCATATGCAGTTGAAAATAATAGGTATTTTGCTGTTGTTGGATAAACTGCTATATAAATGTCAGTGGGGCTTAGTTGCCTGATAGTGTTTTTGACGTCTGCGGTACCTGGTTTATCTTGTCTCTTGTTCTGTTGATTACTGAGAGAGGAGTTTGAAACCTCTGTCCCTGTTTCTCCTTTATGTTCTTTGAGTTTTTGCTTTATGTATTTTGAAGCTCTGTTATTTGATGCATACACATTTAGAATTACCGTATCTTCTTGATGAGTTGAACTGTTTTTGCATTGTGAAATGTCCAAAGTTGTCCCTGATAATTGTCATTTGTTGTTCTGAAGCCCAGTTGCCTGTTGTTAAATTAATATAGCTGCCCTGACGCTCGATCGGTAGTGACATGATACATAGTCTTTGATCCTTTTATTTTTAACCTAACCAAGTTATTTATCTTGAAAGTAACTTTCTTGCAGACAACATGTATTCGGGTCTCACTTTTGTTTTTGCTTTAGTTTTTTTCCTTCTGACAGTCCCTGACTTGGACCTACATATAAAGTTTATAAAGCTGTTCTACAAGGTTATGTAATTCCATCGTCTCGGCCATTTCTGCGTCCATTTCTATGACTGCTTTTTTTCCTCCTGGTTGTAGGTTCTGTTTGCTCCTCTGAAAGTGTGGGAACTTTGGTGGGATGTCAGACGCAGAATTCGGCATCCATCTGAGTGCTAGATTCTGATGTATTCTTTAAAGGGGTTCATGTGTCTTGGTGTGGAGTTGAGATCCACACCTCCCTCTGAGCGTCTGTGAAGGATCGAGCGCTCAGTATCTGTTCCTCACTAGGTGGGTTCCATTTCAGGGGGAAGAAAATTACTGTATCCGTCTTTTCTGTAGCAACTGAAAAAGTATTAAAACAGTCACAATGATGTGATAATTTAAAATACTATTTTATACAAACCATAGCACTTTGGGTGAATTTAGACATTACTGTCGTAACTGGCCTGGGCTGAACTGTCCCTTTTGACACATTTGTGATGACTGGCCCTTTCGTCACTGGCTCTGTGGATGAGTGCATTAACCCGCGTGTCCCCGGGACATAAGCATAAGCCCTGCCATTAATGAGTAGGGGAATGTGTCTTTCACGTGGTGCGTTGTTGTGGTTTCTCTCTCTGGCCCCTTAGTAGGTGGTCCAACAGCTTTCCTTCAGCCCGGGGGGGCCTTTCCGTCGGCCTCGGATGGAGGCTGGGTCCGGATCCGGGGCTGGGAGGAATGACTGAATAGCTTTCTGTAGAAGACAGAAGTTTTCTCAGAAAACGCCAAGAGCATAGTCCTTGTGTAGTCCGTGCTTCAAAACAGACACAACACAGTGTCCCGAGTGCACAGGGCCTTCCTTTGCACAGAGCAAAATGAAAGGTTTTGCTCTGAGAGGATAGGGAAGCAAGGCCACATCTTCCCAGTGAAATCTCCTCTGTTACTTTGGGAAAAGCTGTCACTAAGCCCTGAATGGCTTTCCGATTTTGTGCCCAGTGGGGACGTTCCAGCTGATAACCGCTGTGGGGACAGTGTGTGTGGGCACTCTCATTCCCGGGAAGACGTGGCCGAGTCGGGGCGTCCCCGGAGGCCTGCGCCCGTCACCTGTCCCCGTCCCTGAAGGCTGTCCCTCCTCCTCCCCAGGTGTGGAGAAGCTGGTCCACCACCTGCGGAGGCACGGCGTGCCCTGCGCCGTGGCCACCAGCTCGGGGACCGCGTCCTTCCAGATGAAGACCCGCAGACACGAGGACTTCTTCAGCCTGTTCGACCACGTCGTCTTGGGGGACGACCCCGAAGTGAAGAGTGGGAAACCGGAGCCGGACATATTCCTGGCGTGTGCCCGGAGGTTTTCGCCCACTCCCCCCGTGGAGAAGGTAAGCCCAGCGGGGGTGAGGGGTGGGGGCAGTGGTGTGGGGGTCACGCTGTCTGTCTGGTTCCACTCCGTGCCCACTGCTGCCCGGCCGTCCGTACAACTCGAGAGAGAGGGGTACTGGGGTCACCAGGTAGGGGTGCACAGGGAGACCCCTTCACCCTGTGGGAACCACGGCCGCCCCACTTCCCCCCGGCTGGTGAGACCCGGCCTGAGTCGTGTGGATGCATGAATGTATCTGAGGAGGCCTTGGCCTGAGAGAGCACCGCTGGCCGGCTCTGTTCAGGGGAGGGGCCTTCCGCCACGCAGGCTGCGGCCTCCTGTGTGACCAGCCGACCTGGAAGCGCACGCCCATGGCGGTTTGATTCGATTCGGTCGGCCAGGTCACGTTAAGCCAGCAGCACTCCCTGCCCTGTTCCCAACGAATGCTCCTCAGGGCCGGCTCCTTCCTGCAGGGCTTCTTGTCACCACGGCCTTTGCTTTCCATGGGCAAGTTCTCAGGCGTCTGTGTTTCTCCCTGGGAAGGAGGCCGTGGTGCAGCCCTGTCCTGCCTCCGTGGGCTGCTTCCTTACGCAGGGTCGGCAGTGGACGTGGGTGGCGGGCGGTTGTTCTGAGACTGGGGAGAGTGATCAGAGTGAGTGGACAGTGCCTGTGCAGCCCTGCAGCAGGGTCTCCTCGCCGCACACGGGAGCTGCTCACACAGAGGGCGTTGCCTCCACCATCCGCAGACGCCAATCCCGCAGCGTCCCAGGCTTCTCGAGGGGTTCCTGCTGGTGACCCAGGCGTGTCCGCAGCATGACGGGCATTCCTCAGGGTGACGGTGGCCCGCATGCTGCTTTGTGGGGAGTTAGTGCCAGGAACAGTTTCCATGAAGGGTCTTCTCACCCTTCACCTCTGTCACTAACCAGTGAGCCACGATGGGATGCTGACCATTTAGTTCAGGGAAGCTTGCTCAAAGTCCCTCCCAACGCAGCTGAGAGAGGACGACGATCTTTCAGTGATCTGGTTTTTCATCCCAGGGCCCAGCGTTGAACCTGTCAGGGCAGCTGAAATACATTTAACCCCTTTTCTTTTTCCCTTTTGTGTATATATATTTTTATTGAAGTATAGTCAGTTTATAGTGTTGTGTCAATTTCTGGTGTGAAATACATAACTCTTCTTTGGTTTCCCGGCCTCCACTGGGCCTTTCAGGATCCAGTTCATTTCTGACACTGACGACCTGGAGTGAGTGCAGACCCCCTGGGTTAAGGGCTCAGCCCCGCAAGTCTGCGCCCACTTCAGACACCAGCCACCAGTGGGGTGGCCAGGCCACTCACGCTTCTGCCCGGCCAACCACAGACTTGGGGGATCCCCCACGACCGTCTTCTCAGTTTTCATAATTCACGAGAATGACTCGCAGAACTCAGGAAAACACTTTCCTTGCATCCGCTTCCGGGTGTGTTTTAAGAGGAATCGCCCAGTGGAACTGATGCTTAGTGCAAAGTATGGCTGGGGGGTGGCACTTCCACGCCCTGTCTCGGTGCACCGCCCTCCCGGCACCTCCATGTCTCCAGAAGCTCCGAGAACCTTGTTTGCTAGGGGGCTTCATGGAGGCCCCATTACCTGGCACTGCTGATTACGTCATTGGCCCTTGGTGAGTCTCTGGATCTGGAAGTTGGGGGCAGGATGAAGGTTCCAACCATCTAAACCGGCCTTGGTCTGGCCTGATTGGGGGCCCAGGGGAGTGACTTCCTTAGCATAAACTCAGGCGTGGTTGAAAGGAGCTTATTACCAATTAAAAAAAAAGAACTCCTATTGCTCAGGAAATTCCAAGGAGCTCTGTGCTGGAAACCGGGGACCAAGGCCAAATACATATGTTTTTATTACACCGCAGCCTGAAGTCATCACACATTCATTGAGGGCCAGCAGTGGGGTATTCCTAGCAACACACATACACGGACCAATTCAGATCAGCGACTGCGCGAGGGGCGGGCCTGAGGTGGTCCAGCCGCTAAGCCGTGGCGTCAAAGATGAGGCCTCGGAGGCTGGCGGGCAGGTCCTGGGAGCCGTGGGGTTCTGCGTCTTACATCAGGACAGCTGTGCGTCCGTGTGCCTGGCGGCCTGCTGCAGACCTCACGCACACACATGCGTTCTTCTTCCCTCAGACCTCTGCCCCCTTCTTAAAGAATTTCCCCACCCCTTCGGGTCAGCACGCCCTCCTGAAGCCACTCTCTTTGTTCGCTGCAGTTGCTGTATATCTGTTACCCATGAGTGAGGTGCTGCCCTGGGCAGACTGGTCCCCAGAGCGGCTCACAGTCGGAGGCACCTGCTTGCGGCCCATCTTCACAGCCTTTAAAGACGACGTAAGAGGGTGGCCTTGAACGCGGTGCCCCTTTGTGTGGCTGCGGCAGTGAACGGAGGAGGCTGCTGCCTTTCTCCCTGCTCCAGGCCGTCCTCCCGTTGCCAGGTGCCCTGTTCACAGAGCCGTGGCGTTTCCAGGTTTCCTGGTGCGTGTGGAGACAAAGTTCATGTGGCTGGCTTTGCCGGAGAGCGGCTGCAGTGAAAGCGAGGAAGAGCAGGGCACCACCGTCCGGTGCCCGCCTATGCAGGAGTTCCCCTCACGTGGCCCCCCAGGCTCCGCGCGGAGCTGGAGCATCCCCGTGTTCCCGCGCTGCCCTGTCTGTGCTAGACTTGTCGGGGAGAACTGGGCAAGCGCCGCCTCTACCCTAGTTACTGACCCACGTTTCTTTCGTGCAGCTGTGCGACTTGCAGGAATGAAACCTCCCCTGTCCTGTTTCTTAGGCAGACACGGTCAGGGGTTTGGGGTTGAGCGTGGTGTAACGGGCCAGGAAGGGGTCACCGGGCTCCCGGCTGGGGAGGCACCCCACATCCTGTACTTGGACTTGTCTTCCGCATACGGGAACAGTTGCAAAGAGGCTTGTGGAAATAGGACACACTTTCTATTTGACTCAGTGCAGGCGCCAGAACGTGGGGCGGTGAGCCTCAAAGGTCAAGGGCGTTTCACGCAGTTATGAAGTCCCCAGAGAGAGTCACGGTTGCCGTGGGGAATTTATTATGCTGTGGGTGTCCGCAGATGCATTCGGTGCAGCAGCAGTAACGGGAAAGCAGTAGAAAGCACGTAGCAAGAAAGGGGACGTTTCTGTTAAGACATCACTTAGCATTTAGTAGGAGAAGACGCCTCACAGAGCTGGCATTTAATAAGTTTTCATTGAAAGCGTGTTCTTCTAAGTTAACTTATGTATCATTCTTTTTTTTTAATGTATCATTCTTTTGTATTTAAAATATGCGGTCCTCATATGCCCTCTTCAGAAGTCCCCTTCACCCATCTTCACGCTCTCGAGCATCACTGAGTGCTTGCTGGGTGCCAAGGAGGCCTCGGCATGTGGGCGTCCCCCACTGACCCCAGGGGCCCCACGGGGCAGAGGTTACCGTGGGCCAGGGGTTATCGTCACCCCAGCCTTTACAGCACACAGGCATCTGCAGGCTTCCAGACAGCCCGGGGACTCAGGGTCCTGGAGCAGGTGGAGGGACCAGGCCAGAGTCACCCCCAGCCCCCAGCCGTGTGAGCTCTGCCACTCGAGTGCCTAGCCGAAAAACGCACGTCTTTGTTGCAAAACAAAAATGATGGCATGTTCACACGTGATTTCCTGGGTTCTGTTTAGTACATTACAAGTGAAACCTGAAATCCGTCTTTTAAAAGCGTAGCCATCGCGACTCTGCATGTTTTCCTTCTCTTGTTAACGTTAAGGGCTGAGTTTCAGGGTCTTCTTTTGAATTACTTTTTCTGTTTTGTTTTGTCTTGAAGCAACTTCCGCACATTAAGCTTTTATATACCTAGAGAGTGAAAAGAAAAAAATGACCGAGTGAGTTCTGTTGAACTGCACAATGACTTTGTCATAAAAGCGCATTTCTTCTCAAACAGAAGTAACCACCGAAGTTGACTTTTCAGTACCTGAAATGGCAGTCGACGTGTTTTACGTAATCTCTTGACAAGGGAACGCGTTCACTGAAAAAATCATTCTCTGTGCCTCTTTTCAGTGTGCGTTGTGTCTGTGCCCAAAGTCCGCAGACAGACGTAGGCTGTCGGCGTGTTCTTGCCGTTTGTTACCCTCTGTGAAGAGTTTCTCCCCTCCCAGCATAGCAGGGGTCAAGTGCACCCTTTGCTTCTGTCCAATTTAAAGTTAACACTGGGCGGCCTGGAGCGCTGTGCTGGGCCTTTGCCCTGTGGGGGGTTCAGTGTTCTGTAGTCAGTCCTTCTCTTCCCAGCACCCCAGTATTAATGGGCGCAGCCATGCTGGAGCTCTTTCCGGGGGAGAGGAGAGCCACTGGGTCCTAGTGGGCCACCTCGTGGGGCCTCAGGGACCCTTGAGCCTTGGCCATCACTGCCCAGGCCTCATGACCGTCTTCTCCTGTCACTCAGAACCCCTGAGCAAAACACAAGGGCCTCTGGTCACTGTCTTTGGTATGTATCTCCTGTCTCTTATCACCTGGTGTACCAGGACCTCCCTTTTTCATGAGAAGAAGATCTCAACGACTACCTTCATAATTCCTCCCCTTACACATCTTTTCTTTCATCGCATCTGCCTTTGCTTGGTGTCCCCTCTGAGCTTCTGTGGACGAGATTGCTTGTGGAGGAGGAAGAGCATTTTCTGTCCTCTCTTAGGTTCTGTCCTTGGGGGCTGTAAATTAAACTGACAGACGAAATTAGCCAGAGAAAATACAGATTTCTATTTGTTTAAGAAGGAGGCAGTTCACAGAACAATGTGATTCAAGGCGGCAGTTAGAACCTGGGGCTTATATACCATCTTAATAGGGGCTGGGGACAGAGAAAGGGGCACTTCTGGAAGCACTGGTGACTTTTAGGGGAAAACAAATGGGCTCTTAGGAGAACAGGTGGGAGGTAAGATAGCTGTAGGACGGCGTCTGTTCAGGTGATTTCTTCTCCAGGCGCTGACCTCTGCTGACTTCTTTTCAGCCGTAAAAAGCCAACCTTGCCCAGGTGTG